CATCTGTTCTTCTGCCTTCACCTGACTCACATGGACCCCCGTCTGAATTACTTTCTGTCTAACCTTACTCTTGGTGACCGGACCCTTCGTGTAGTCAGTGTTCATTTCAAGAGTGATTCTCTGGACCCCAGGTTCTTCACGACCTCCATGATGGGGTTCCCACTCTTGTTCTTGGCGACTTTAATGCCTGCCATCCCACTCTTACTCCGGATCATCCCACGCCATGTACTCTTAACGGATCACATCTCTCACAGTTTCTTAATGGGGATGATGATGTTTGCTTTCTTTGTCCTGACGATCCTACTCGCCTCCCCTATAGTTACCTTGATGTTGGCTTACTATTGAATGGTCATACCTCCTTTCATCCTACCGTCTGCACCGAGCCTGCTCTGTATAGTGACCATCTTGCCGTTACTACCGATCTCAGGCTCTCCTTCTCTGCCCCGACATCAGCTCCTTATCGATCCCCTCGCCCTCGTCTCACACGACATGCTGTTCCTTCCTTTATTCAATACCTTTCTACCTGGGTGGAATCCTATGTTGTCCCCCAGTCCCTTGACTCTTATGGCGCTGATTTTGTTGATGCCGTGTATGACTCTGTCAATCGCACTGCCCCTCCACGTATCCCTGGCATGAGACATCTCTGGCAGGTAACCCGTGATCTCCACTCTCCAGAGGATTGGGAAGACTTAAAAAACTGGTGCTCCTTTGCAACTCAGGAGCGCGTCGGATTCGTGAGGCGGACTGGCTATCCTTCACGGGGTCTCCATCGTTCCAGTCGTCACCCTCTTATGTCTGGAATCGGATTAATGCTATACGGGGTACTCGACGGAGGCCCCCTCCCTACTCTGACCCTGCTTCCCTTGCCTGTTCTTTAATGGAGGACTGGGCACGAGCTTCCTACCCTGAGGCACTTCTAGACCTGATGCAGGAGGCAGTGCAGGCTCGTACCGATGCGTCTGAGCCTGTTGTTCGTGCTGCTCTTACCTCCCCTGCCCTCACTGATCATCCCATTACACAGTTCGAGCTTGACAGTGCTCGTCGCTCTGGAAAAGACACATCTCTTGGGATGATCAGATAACCTACTCCATCCTCAACGCCTGTACTAATATTCCTTACGGCCACCTGCTCACTCTCTACAATATGTCTTATGAACATGGGGTTCTCCCATCTAACTGGAAAAATGCCACCATTATCCCCATCCTTAAGTAGGGAGATCCTGGGAAATATCGACCCATTAGTCTCTTGTGTTTGCAAGATGATGGAAACGATACTCCATCGTCGCCTTCTTCACACCATAGGCGGCTTCCACAACTCCCTCAACGTCACAACACAGCACACTCCATTGCTTCCTTTTATTACAATCAGACTGCCCCCGTCTCTGCCTTCTTTGATATCAAGGGAACCTTTGATACGGCTCAGCCTGCCCTCATTTTAGCTGAACTTGTGCAGTTAGGGGTTAAAGGGAGACTTCTTCGATGGATCGCCTCTTACCTCAATGGACGTCAGGCCCGGGTTCGCGTTGAAGACTCGATATCTCCTGTTCAAGAAATGAACCTCGGCACCCCTCAAAGTGGAGTCCTGAGTCTCACCTTGTTTAACACTAATGCACTCCATTGCACCTCTGGTCTCCAGAGTACTGTATGATTCACTTGGTTTCTGTCTTTCAACTGCTAAAACAAAAGCCATGTGGCACTGTCGTGTTATATCTTCCCCCCTTCTCTTATCAGGAACGCCCTTGGACTGGGTTAATGAGACAAAATACCTGGGTGTCTATGTAACTCGCACACGTCAGATCCCTGAAGTCCGCTACCTTCGAGACATATGCTTTCGGGGTCTTGCTCCCCTCTCTCCCATGTGCAGGGGTTCCCTTGGTGCCACCATCCCTGTACTTCTCACCATGTACAAGTCCTTTGTCCGCTCCTGTGTCGACTACGACGCCCCTGCCCTCGTCAACATTAGTCGGACTGCTGTCAACCGTCTCGAAGTTATCCAGAGGAAAGCTGCTCGTATCATCCTTGGGGCTCCTCAGTGGACACGCTCTACTTTTCTATATACCGAACTTGGTCTTTCCCCCTTACAGGGTCGTGTCCAGGAGTTTTACCTAAAAACTACCGTTTCCATTCTACAGGATCTTCGGGGCAACTATGTCCAAGCCAACTTGACTTCTGCTGTCCGAGGCCGACCTCCATCTAGAAGACAGTGGCAAGGATCACTCATCCGAGCCCTTTAGGAATACGACCTCCTGCCTGATATTGTTGTCACCCCCACTGTTGGTTCGTCTACTTCCCCCTGGCCTGGGCTGGTGTCTACATCTGCCGTCCTGATGCATCTGAGCCCATCAAACTCTCTCACGGAGTTTCTGATGGGGCATCCTCCACTCAGGCTGAGCTGATCGCCCTCCTTGCTGCCCTTCTTGCTGAGGAAGAAGCCGGTGGCTTCTGCCCCTTGCTTGTTTGCTGTGATTCCAGGTCTGCTCTCGATGGGATTGCATTTGGATCAGGGGAGAATAAGGACCTCATCCTCCGAATACGAGGGTTAACATCCACACTTCAGGATGCAGGCAGTCCTGTGACATTCCTATGGATACCCACTCATGTCGGTATCTTGGGGAATGAGGCAAACAGAGAGAAGCTCGGGAAGCAGCCATCCCCCTGGACTCCCCGCCCACCTGGTACGATGTCCTCCGTAAACTTCCTGACCTCTCGTATATCTATGGGAAAGGGTCGCGGAAAAGGGACGTGATTGCTGCCCGTATCATCATTGGGTATGACTTTGCTTGGGAGATTGGTATCCCCGCATCCCCTGAGCAACGCTTTTGTGCATTATGCAGAAGACCCGACAGCCGCACCCTTATCCATTACCTCCTAAAACGTCCCCACACACAACGCTTCCGTGACGCCTGCTGGACCACCACTCCACGACCCCCTGACGGAGACACGATGATTCTCCCCATACTGGTCAGATATTATGTAAATAATATTGATAATGTGTTAAAGGAATATCCTTCCTTCCTTAGGCTTTAGTAAGCCCCTTTACTTTTTTACTTTTATCCTCTTCGCCACTGGTCGGCTCGCTAGCCGCCCGGGCGATCGGTCACGTCTTTGTCACGCACTGTTGGCAAATACTGGGCATGCACCGGCTCCTGAATGTACCTGAACCCGCTCCAGTGTTGGTCAAGTCTTTTCTTGAAAGAACTCACCCTCGGTGCCGTCACAACACTCTCTGGTAGATTGTTCCAAGAGTTTACAACCCTCACTCCGAAAAAGTTTGCCCTCACAGTTTTCTGGACTTGCGGCTTCTTCAATCTTGAGCTGTGACCCCTTGTGGGGCGAGCATCCGCCAGCTCCAAGTAAGGACACTCGACTGAGTAGTGCCCCCTGAGATGCTTATACACCTCAACTAGGTCCCCCCTTGCCCGTCTGTAGTATAAGCTAGGCAAGTTCGGGCACTCCAATCTCTCAGGGTAGCTGAGGTGCCGAAGTGCAGGCACCAGGCTGGTGGCCCTCCTTTGAACATTTTCAACCAACTGACAGTCCCTAGCATATCTCGGGGACCAGACAGGGTGACAGTACTCCAGATGGGGAAGCACTTCACTCCTGAAGATCGTTCCGAGGGACGAACCGTCTAGATATCTGAACGACCTTTTTATAAGACCCAATAATTTATTTGCCTGGTTTACCTTCTTCTCGCAATGGCCCGAGAACTTCAGCTCATTGTCAACATACACACCTAGGTCCTTCTCACATTCAGTCTTAACTAATGCAGTTTCTTCATCCCGTTGGGACATATGATACGCCCCCTTACCGTTGGTACGCCCCTGGTGCATCCTCTTACACTTCGTGACATTGAATCTCAGCAGCCATTTCTTCGACCATTCCTGGAGCCCACAGAGGTCCTTCTGCAGCTCTTCACAGAGCTGTTTATACTTGTGACATGTGCCAAATGCTTCTGGTGTTATTGTACAGGGGTACCTAGTGACAGCACTAGGATCCCGCTTCCTCTATCAAGGAATAAACAATTGAAATTGAAATTGAAGTGATGATATTTGGTAACTTGTTCCATTCATCCACTACTCTATTTCCAAGCCAATATTTACCTATTTCGTGCCTAAATCTAAATTTGTCTAATTTAAAACCATATTTGTCTAATTTAAAACATACAAAAAGGCCACAAATTAATTATCTTAAAAGAATGTTGTATCCACCAAATATAATGCTCTCTCACTATAACATTATTCTTTCAGCCATATTAAACATACAGTACATACTACACCTTAGATAACACCAAAATTACCCATGATTGCTCAGATAACCAAGCTTGTCCCATCCTATCTACCTCAAAGCCTAACCAGAGAGAGAAAAACAAAACAAAATGTTCCAGCACTTCTTTTTACTTCACAACTGCTTCATACGGTCTCTCATAAATTTACTAAAAAACAAAGATAAATTCCGTAAAGTTTACAAAATGAAACATAAATACTAATATATATATATATATATATATATATATATATATATATATATATATATATATATATATATATATATATATATATATATATATATATATATATATCTTGATAAATCACACGGGAAAGGGGAAACAACGGAGCACCTGTGTGATTTTATCAAGATTTATCTTATCCACGTTTCTCATTGGATCATATGAAATATATATATATATATATATATATATATATATATATATATATATATATATATATATATATATATATATATATATACCATAATGAAGATATTTTCACAGGTCTTTAATATAAGTTTGGAATTCAATTTATAGAAAACGGGACGCAGTAAACACTAAATACAATGTGTAACTGAAACAAATATAGAGGGGAACGGGGAGATGACAGTAACACCAGATGCTTCTGGTATTATTGTACAGGGTTACCTAATGACAGCACTAGGATCCCGGTTCCTCTATTGAGGAATACGAGTTAAACTGTTGAAATTGAACACAACTATTTCATCACTTACCTGTCTGTTTATGACCAATAACCACCGCCACACACAGCATCAACCACAGCACCATTAATCTCGTCTCCATGGTTAAGTTTTCACGTGTCCAACTACACCACAGTTGCACAATGTCAAGAGCGCCAACACCCACACCGTAACGCAGCACCAATAGCACACCACAACACACACACGTGTACACACCTTTACGCAAAGCCAACACAGAAACTGTAACACAAAACCAACACGCTCACAGTAACAACGCCACACCATACCACAACACTGCGCCAACAGACACACAACACTGCCAGGCGTGTTTACAAAATCAACTGACTTTGAGTGGTGATGTGTCAAGTGAATTTTATATCCAAACTTCCTCGTGATTTTTAACGTTAAGGAAAACAATGCTTTTATTTCCTCGATCTCGGAGTCTGTTTGACTATTATATTTAGTCGTTTTTGATGTGTTTTCATAGGAACATTAAATTAATATACGGAATAGTGCACACTGCAGCGATCACTTCAATATTCCCGGTATTTACTGTTTGTTGGTTAGTGACGTCAAGGGGAAGATTCTTACAGGTTCATGAACTAACGACTCGCTATTTTGGACATTATTTCCTTGTTTCCCATTCTCGTTAATTACTTGCTAGTTGTGAATTCAAAGATTGCTGTTGTTATATATTGTTTTCGGTGTTTTAACTGTTAAGTGGCGAAGTGGATAAAATAAAATGCCAATACCTCTTAATATGGAGAAAAGTACATACAGTAAATAAGCCGAGTTGACTTACTTATTAAGGGCCATGTTACAGTAAGTGCGGAATTACACATTATTAAATACATTTGAAACAAATGTGCGATTTAATACATAACAAACCTACACACACCTAATTAAATAATTCTTAACCTAACTTAAACCTAATCTCCTTATGTTAGAATATTTGTCGTGTTTACATAGTTTATCTTCGTGATATATAATATAGCTTATCTTCGTGATATATAATATAGCTTATCTTTGCGATATGTAATATACACTGCACCTGTAGCTGACCTTTGTGATATGTAAGATAGCTTATCTTCGTGATATATAATATAGCTTATATTCGTGATTTGTAATATAGCTTATCTTCGTGATATGTAATATAGCTTATATTCGTGATTTGTAATATAGCTTACCTTTGTGATATGTAATATAGCTTATATTCGTGATTTGTAATATAGCTTACCTTTGTGATATGCAATATAGCTTATCTTCGTGATATATAATATAGCTTATCTTTGTGATGTATAATATAGCTTATCTTCGGATATACAATAAAGCTTATATTCGTGTTAAATAATATAGCTTATCTTCGTAATATGTAATATAGCTTACCTTTGTGATATGTAATATAGCTTATCTTCGTAATATATAATATAGCCTATATTCGTGATATATAATATAGCTTATCTTCGTGATATGTAAGATAGCTTATCTTCGTGATATATAATATAGCTTATATTCGTGATATACTGTATAATACAGCTTATCTTCGTGATATGTAAGATAGCTTATCTTCGTGATATGTAAGATAGCTTACCTTCGTGATATATAATATAGCTTATATTCGTGATTTGTAATATAGCTTATCTTCGCGATATGTAATATAGCTTACCTTTGTGGTATGTAATATAGCTTATCTTCGTGATATATAATATAGCTTACCTTTGTGATGTATAATATAGCTTATCTTCGGATATACAATAAAGCTTATATTCGTGTTAAACAATATAGCTTATCTTCGTGATATGTAATATAGCTTACCTTTGTGATATGTAATATAGGTTATCTTCATGATATATAATATAGCTTATCTTTGTGATGTATAATATAGCTTATCTTCGGATATACAATAAAGCTTATATTCGTGTTAAATAATATAACTTATCTTCGTGATATGTAAGATAGCTTATCTTCGTGATATACAATAAAGCTTATGTTCGTGATATATAATATAGCTTATCTTCCGATATACAATAAAGCTTATATTCGTGTTAAATAATATAACTTATCTTTGTGATATACAATAAAGCTTATCTTCGTGGCTGATATATAATATAGCCTACACTAATTGTTAGTTCGCACATATCTTGCAGAGGAAACATTGCACAAATGAATTTAATGGTTAAATACCAAATTGCTGATGAATTTCTAAAATTAAATAAAGCTGGTGGGCTAAGATAGAGTGCGCTGAATAAAACAATTAATTATTCTTATGCTTAAAATACCGCCAATAAAAGTAATTGTGCTTGAAGACGTCATCTCCGCCATGAAGGAAATCCTGACCACAAACTCACCGCCACCTCAACCTCGTCCACCCTAAGGGTCTCCGGGCCTATCACCGCCTGGTACACCCACATCAAAGTGCATGAAAAAAAGAAAAAAGTTTTGCTTAATAATGATGAAATCAAAAACTATCATACAAGTTCACATATCGGCTCACTATTTACATGCACATAGTGAAAATAGATCTCGATACCGTATCATATATCCATAAGAAAGACGAAAGAAAAATGTTGGACATAATGTAGTAATTTGATCCCAAGGTTAATTAAGCTAGACGTTTTCAGAGAATTCCTTTGTTTTAGTGACTTGTACTATTAATTAGGACTCTATTGTTCTGAGAAAATATGTGTGTGTGAGAGAGAGAGAGAGAGAGAGAGAGAGAGAGAGAGGAGTAAATGGTACGACACACATCAGAGCCATATTTGTATGGCAACCGTGTCATTATAATTATTGTTATAACCATTTCTCATTTGTTATCAAATGCAAAAGACAAAAACAAAAATTATATTTGATTCTTCAATGATAAGTTCATTTATCATTTCATCATGTTATCTTTCGTTGTAATGACCAAGGTCGTACATATTAGTTAACGCAAAATCAAAAGATTCATATGACGCTCACTAGCCCATAAAACGGATCACCTGAAGAATTGTCACCCCAGAGTTTGGCAGGGTGACAATTCTTCAGGTGGGATATCTTGGGGGTGACGATTCTTCAGGTGGCAACACCTGGGGTGACAATTCTTCAGGTGGGGTCAGGTTCCTGATTTGTTAAGTTAGGTTGGGTTGTTTTAAGGTTGTGTGACTTTCCTATATGACGGGTGGAACCCTTCCCTAATTTTTTTTGGGGGGGAATGAAGAATTTTTTCCTTTTTCTTTTAGATTTGGAAGCATTTTTTTTGGAGAGTGCGAGTCATGTTTTTTTAATCTTAGATATTTTTTTTAATTTATTGTATTTTGGAACACGGTGTATATTATTCTTTTTTTCTTTAAACTTTTCACAATAAAGATGCATAACGCAAAGGAATATATTTATGTTCTCCTAATTATACAAATTATATTCACTGTGGGATGGGGTGACGATTCTTCAGGTGGAGCAGGCTGGGGTGACAATTCTTCAGGTGGGATATCCTGGGGCGACGATTCTTCAGGTGATCCCATAAAACATGAAGTTGTACCTTTTTAATTGAGTCATCCAGCTAAGGCGTCCGTTTTCTTATCACTTCACGCAGCCAGAGTCCTCCGTTTTCTTATAATCCAGGAGTGCGCCCGAAACTCCATTATTCCTTAGTATCTCAGGGCACGACATAAAATTTGAAATTGCACCTGTAGTTGTAAAGTAAAATTAGATATGTCTGATTACAGATGAAACATTCAAAATCTATTGTGAGTGATGTTGAAAGCTTCAACTGTATTTACTGTTAGCGAAAATAGTCAAATAAGTGAGTGTTGAGTCTGCCAGTAAGAATGGCATATCCTACAACAGTTGGTTGATCACTTGCCGTCCGCTTACCAGCCAACCACCGGCGAGTTCCGAATGTGATAGGCCTCACTTTCGGACTGGGCGGTGATTGGCCCGTTACCGCCTTCGTCTCAGCCAATCAGCAGCGCCGCTTACGGGAATCATTGCCTCCCTCCACCTCGACCACAGAGTGCGAGGGGCCACCTGGTCGCACGAGGCAAGCAAGGTCATCAGGCACCTGCAAGCAGAAACACTCGTCAAGAACAACCAAGATATACGAGACAAGGATTATTTAGTTCCTCCACCATGGAGCCCTCCACCAGCCACATTCAAAATCACCGAACTAGGTGATAGCAAAGCCAACCTCCAGAAGGAGGACGTCAAAAGAATAACTCAGGAAGCCATAGCCACCGAGACACCGGCTGATGCAGCATTATACTTCACAACGTCATAGATCCGGAGCGGCCTTCTACACCCAAGGTCAGACCCTCCTATGGAGACTTTCTAATGACTGCTCCACCCTACAAACAGAGTTAGTAGCAATCTCAAAGGCCCTACAACACGCTGCAACAGAACACAACAAGTCCATCATAATTCACACGGACTCGAAAACGGCCATGCAGGCGCTGCAACACAGTCAACCAAGAGACAACGTCCACATCATAACCTCGATCCTCGCACAGCTACAGGACTTCCAAAGACAAAATCGCCCAGTCGTCTTACACTATATTCCCAGTCATATAGGGATCGGGAGAAATGACATGGCAGACGAAACAGCCAAGGCAGCCACACTTCCTAGAAGCGTACACATTCAAGTTCCAGCAAGCGTGCAACAGATTTTTGTTAAACCACCGATGTATGTAATAAGTCATTTATGTCCAATGTATATTTTCAGCCTTCGGGCTGCAGAATTTTTTTTTCAATAAACCGTTAATTATTATTATTATTATTATTATTAGATCAAGAACCACCTCAGAAAGAATACCAAGCTCCACATCCAAAAGAGCTTCCTTGACACATTCAACGCTGGTTCCCAATTAGCCAAATGGTACCTAGTGGCTACAAAAGGGGAACCACCATTCGCGGACAAGAAAACACCAAGACAAACCCAAGTTAGCCTTCATCGACTACGACTAGGGTACAAGTGCTCCTGGCAGATGATTGGAAATGTCGTCAGGGAATGCACCTACTGCCAGGAGCCAGCGGCCAGCCCACTGGAACACTGGAAATAATACTGTATAACTAAGAAAATTAAAGAAGGTTATATAAGAAAGAAATAACATATCAAATATAAAATAGAAAAATGAAATACACAGATATAGATAAAAGTAATAGGAGTAAAATAAATTGGAAATGCATAAAATATCCCCATTACATCGTTACTATTTTTATGACCTTTATTGTCTAGCGTAGTGTTAGCACAGGAGGAAACCGGAGGTCTTTTCACGCCAGTCCGGGGCCGAGGATTGAATCTAGGACACAATGATGTACTCTACTGTACCACCAGCACTCCTAAAAAGGAGGTAGGAACTTTTCACGATTTTGTGCGTCTT